TTCTGACAAAATCTTTCAAGAAACTAATATATGACACTGTGATCTATTATTTACTCATTGATTATTATTGTAGGTTTTGATATAGGATTAGAGAGCAAAAATACTGCTCCTTATCTGGTTAAGGTGACCCAAAAGTACAAAACTATAGTTGAGTTACTTAGTAAAGGTGAGACACAAACATATGCTTAATGGCTGTGTTATTTAAACAAAGATTCCAATAAATAAAAAATGATACTTTCTACCAATAAACATACCTTATTACTGTCATTCCCTTGTAAGTTTGGTATAAGTGGAAGCTGAAACCCTTCCCTAGGGCAATATATATCTTGTTGCATTTTGCATGTAAGAAAATATAAGGATACCCTCATGCACCAGTAACTCTAACAGGAATGTTAAGTATCTATTATTTGTATTATGGGGAGCAGAGATCAAAAGTATATACTAAAATCCACTGGACATTAGGGATGCCAATGAAAACCAAATCCGCGGGTACCCGCCCGAACTCAACCCGAATATAATGGGAAAAACCCGATGTAATGGGTTCAGGTTTTACCCGAGTTCAAATTTCGGGTTCGGGTTTGGTATTAACAATATCAAACCCAAACCCGCCCCGAACCTGATTAATATATATAAAACTATAAAATTACATATAAATACATACACAAAAATATATATAAGCTATACATATATAAATTTCATACGTATATATATAAATTATATATAAAATTATATGTTTTTCGGGTTTTTTTCTGGGTTCGAGGATGATATCATTGTTTCCAACCCCGCTTAATTCGGGTTTGGGTTTGGGTTTGGATAAGCACAAACCCGACCCCGACCCGCCCTGTTGCCATTCATACTGGACATCCACCAACATCCATGCCATCTTGTAGAGTAGGTTTTATCAAAATTTGAACGTTTTTTCTCATTAGATTAGAGAAGAACTCTAACATTTGCTGCAATGCAAGTGGGATGCACATACTCTATTATTGGATGCATTTCATGCTATTTTTACTGAATAGAAAATGAATCCATGTGATTTAATGGATCCACAAAATATCCATGCGAATTGCTAGCATTTCTCAAACTACCAGAAAACTATGAGGCACTTATAAAGAATTTCCATTGTTTAATGGACTTAGCTATCAATAGCTTACTAATTGCTACAGTGTTGTAGCTATTGGGTTTATTCAAGTGTGAAATCTCACATTGGATATGCGGAGATGAGTGAAAGTGTTTATAAGTAGAAACTAAACTGTTAACAATATTTAGACTATCTTATCAGATAAGAAACTAAATGTTGATAAGGTTGCAAACTTGGAAGCATAAATTAGGTAAATAAGGGGGTTGTTGACTGTAGTGGTGCTTAACACATGATAAGAAACTGAGTTTTTATGCTTTAAACATAATACTTATCATGAATGAGTGTTACCAAATTCTGCGTGAGGAAATTTGTCGGTTGAATAATGCATGGAATGAACATCTTAATTTTGCACACTGCATTATAAGACATACATTATTATATGTTCAACTGTTGCTGTTGGAGCTTTACCAATCACCATACTCAAAGGTTGTTGATCATCTTGTTCAGGGTTAAATTTGCCAATGTAATTTTGAAGCATAATTATGGTTTCATATATTTATCACAAAAACAATATCACCTTATTGCAGAAAGTAGAAATCACAACAACTTGTTGATCCGTAATGGAATTTATTATTAGAAATTAATGGTCTTAAATTTCTACTATATTAAATATGTTACTTTCTAATAAATCTTTCTATATATATTTGATACCTTAGGGTAATTAGCATTTATCAAATAAAAATAACAATTAAAGAAAATCATTCATTGTGTCTTTAGGCTGTCCATAAGAAGCATAGAGTTCCACATGCAGTTTTGGACCCACTAATGTTCAAATTTCAAACATCCCTTCGTTAGTTGAGAAATTTTCACCTATTTATTCTCAAATACTAAAAAGAAGAGTGTTGTAAACAACAACAAAAATTAAAATGTAATTAACTTGTATCATTTTATTTATACTTAGATAACATTTTTATCCTTAAAAGTAAAAACATAATCAGAACTTCCCAAAGAGCCAAGAGTATCCTTGTTTGTATAATACTTTTAGAGTTTTAGTTCCTCTCTGGACACTCTTCACAATGAAAAAAATAAAATAAAATAACAATTATATCATTGTATTTATAGTTTTATACTCGCAATCATATTTTTATCCTAAGATTAAAACTGTATTTATGACACTCCATTTCAAGGGTAGAGGGTTATGGTACGTCCTTATGGATAGTTTGCATTAGTTCTGAATAAAATCTTTTGCATATATCATCACACCACTCATGTCCCAACTTTTACAAAGGGACCTAGTTTGTTCCTAATTTGGGACACAAAACGTACAAGTAATTGCATTGCCCAGCAATAATATAAGAAAGTACCAAAAAGAAAGATCAAAGTGAAAACAATGAAATATTTGTCAAGTGGTCGTTTTCCAAAATAAAGCATGTCTCCCAAAAGAAACTTCTTTTAGTATTGTGCCATTGCCACAAATTTCTTTTATGAATCAATAATAATTTCTAACAAAACTAAAATTATATAGCTACAAGAACTTATCACGAACACACACGTTTTCATTTTATTATTGGAAAGAATAATCCCACAAATTCACCTAATAAAAATGTTCTTTTTCTTTAGTAACACAAACATAAACATTTATTTCAAAGATACCATGTCTTTCATATAGTCATAGTATATTAGTATCAAAGGTATCATTAGAATGTATACTAAAATTTCCTAAGAGACACTTCAATTGATAAAGTTCTGAGATGTATAAATATTTGGGTTCAAACCTTAATGGCTACACAATTTTTCTTCTTCCTCTCTCAAACAAAAACATGTCACATGAATTGTAAATGCATGAATATGATGGCTAAAAAATCTGCAGTTCCTAATGGAATAGGTAACAAAGCAACCTTGCCGCCCACTGCCACTAAATCACCCCCACCCCAAGTCAAACTGGTGCTTGTTGTTGCACCCGGGGCCGTTGTGCCTGGTGCTAAAGCGTGAGTATTTTGTATCCATTGAGCAAAGACAGGTTGTAATTGTATAGCGGTATCTGAAAACATATCTTGGGGGAGTACCCAATTTTGTCCGGCCAAACACAAATTTCCCAAATATAATAAAAAAACACAAATATCAAAATGTTTTGTTGAAGAAAATTAGTGGATTCAATGCCCCGATTACACAAGTTTTGAATGTTTGATTTGTTACAACTTTGGCTATGTGCTAGAATCAAAGACATCAATTGATTGTATAACGTTTGACAATAAATTACAACAAAATTTGCAATGCAGGACAATAACTCAGGCCGTTGGCCATATGCTTAATTCAAGCAGTGATTGAGCATTTGAATTAACACTGCAATAATACATTTGAATTTATAGCATACAACACCTAAGCGTTATTGCATTTGACCTTAAAAGAGAGAACATTCAATCACTTAAAAAGGAAAAAAACATATTCCCCCTTAACTTCCTCCAACGCTTTAATGGGAGAATCCTCTCATTGTTGTGCATGTTTCCTCCCTTCCTTGCTATAAGTATGGACTACATTCAATCACCTCAAAGGGGAAGAAAACAGTTCAGCAAGAAAAGAAAACAAGCATATTAGAGGGGAATTCAGAAATGGAAAAGGAAGATTATTGGCAGCAGGGAATTACAAATTATACATTGAGAGGATCAAAGAAGAAAGCTGAGAGCATCACATTAGGATAAAAGAGTAAGAGTTGGTATTGAATCAGAGGAGATAAGCACCATCTTTGCGAAGAATCCAAACCTGAAGTTGCAAATTCCTAATTCTCGTAAGTACTCAAGTGCATAGCAAATCCAAGGACCCCAGGATCTGCAAAAGAAATCAGCAGGTAAACATCAAAGAGGTATGGTGTTCATTGCATCTCAAAGTATGTAGTTTCCTTTGTCTAACATGTATCCAACAGTAAAAGTCCATGCACATGTCAAATACATACTACTCAAACATGTTATTTTAACACTGAAGTGTTGACATGATTTGATTATTGCATAATAGGGCGGTTTTATTCAAGATTAATATAAGGGAGCAGTCAATAACACATCAAATTAAGAAACACTAAAAGAGATACCATCTAAAAATGCATGAATGCGTGGGTACGACGGAAAATGTGCAAATAAATGCAATGGAGTCGCCATCAATGTTTCCAATAATGACAAGTTGATGTATCCCTAAACAATAGGTAAATAGGCCCGGTAGAAGGCTGAAAGAACAATGCATGAGTAGTGAAGTGTGTGAGGGAGCGTACAAACCTCGAAGATATACACACACAAAAAACCATAAAGCACCCCATAACCTGTACATAAAAAACAAAAATCAAATATATAAATATATAAATAAGTAGTTAAAAAATAAAAAACAAAAAATGGATAAAATTAAAATAATGAATGAAACATCCACATAATTAATCATCATTTAAGGTCTGACTCTCAACTATTCCGGTGGAGTCGTCATTATGTTGTTACCCCATGTTCGTGGTATCCCCGGTGGAGTCGTCATTATGTTGTTACCCCATGTTCGTGGGTACGACGGAAAATGTGGAAATAAATGCAATGAAGTCGCCATCAATATTTTTTAGAAGGAAAACATGAAAAACCAATTTTTTAAATAAAAAGGATTTGGTCTGCTCACACAGAAAAAATTAAGTTCGGGAGTCGGTTACGAAAATAATAAAATAAAAACAGAATATAATAATAGTTAAATAAAAAAAAAAGATGGGGTTTAGGGATTTTAGGATAAAATTGGTTTGGAGTTTAGGTTAAAATTGATTTGGGAGTTTTGGTTAAAATTGATTTGAGGGTTTATGTTAAAATCAATTTGAGGTTTAGGTTAAAATTGATTTGGAGGTTTAGGTTAAAATTGATTTGGAGGTTTAGGTTAAAATTGATTTTGGGGTTTAAGGGTAAAATAAATTTAGGGTTTTTGGTTAAAATTGATTTGGAAATTTAATTTAAAATTAATATATGGGTTTATGTTAAAATTGATTTGGGGTTTAAGTTAGGGTTAACATGAGAGACAATCCTCACTTTTGGCCGAAAAAAATAAAATAAAATGGTGGTCTCTCTTTTCCGAGCTTAGCCCATGAATGCATGAACCCACCGGACACCAATCATTTTATCTATTTTTGAAAAACAATAAATTTAGTTTACTTTTTGTAAAATTCAGATTTAATGAAAACATTGAGCTACTTAGTTTTCGTCTAATGGCAGATAAATGTTATAATTAGACCATTGGATTGAGAACATTTTTCTCAAATTGGTAGGAAATAACTTTTTGATCTTTTAGGTTAATTAATTTTTTTACTTTAGTAACTCGTGTTCATTTTTGTTTGTGTTATTAATACTAACATTATTTCTCAGTAACAACTAATTATTATACTTCAATTTATCTAACATGTTTGCTCCAACTCATTTTACTCATTCTATCTTCAAATATGTATAATATACCTATCTCAAAATGTCTCATCAAATCAAAATCCTTAATAAAGCCTATATGAAAATATTTGGAGATAAACAATAAAAAAATATTAAAAAAGAACCCTAATTAATACATTTAAAAACCTTAAACTAAATAATTATTTTGAAAAAATGAAAATGCAGTAAATTGTCAATGAGTCGATGTGTTAGATATATCTAAAAAATGCAAATGTTGGGTTCCACGACTTAGATGTGACTGATCCATCCTTATATTATTACGTGGATACACGCTGGTAGCACCATTATTATGCTTTGTGATATCTTAATTTATGTTTATGATATTCAAAATAGATCAACTTACTCTAAGAGTATAAGTAGAAAAAATCTATTCCGCATATTAGTTATTCAATCTTAAAAAACTCAATGGTTTATATGTACTTACTAATTCAAACCATTGAATTTTTCAAGAATAAATGATCATAATATAGAGTATGTTTTTTTCACTTACTAAAATATAAGAAATGATGCATTAAAGGAATCTATGCCAGACCAGATCACGAGTGAAGGCCCCACATTTTATGGACAATTGTTGGTCCACGTCATCAACCTTGGAATGATTCACTTTCTCTGTTTGGCTTCTCGCTACAGAATCTCAAAATTGAGTATAGGACGGTTGTTTAGAACTTAGATGATGATGATAACATGTAAGTTCTTTAATCTTCACTCTATGTGTTTAATATCATATATATATATATATATATATATATATATATATATATATATATGTATGTATGTATATAGTTAGTCATAAGTCCGGCTAAAATGAAAATTATGTAAGATAGTTAATGGTGAACTTAAAACTTGGTATTGATTGAAGATATAGTAATGTGAAATTATTAAAATAAGTTAAATATGTTATTTAAAATACACAAATAAGTGAAACAAATATATAAAAAAATGTGCCCGTGAAGCTCACTGAAGGCATGGTACATAAAGGTCAGGAGAAAAAGTTGGAAGGCGGTGGAGAGTCCCCACTCAAGACAGACATATTAACCGAAACACTGCTGGATTGTGATTTGATTTGGTGGCATTAACCAATGTGATACTGCCACGTGGATACTTACTAGGATGATAACTTGAATTGAACCAGGATGGATCTTGTGATAGTGTTAGAATGGAACCGAATGTAGTTGAATCAGAGCTCAGCTTAGTTCATCAAGTATTAGACCTTTTAGTGTTGAATTGGTGAGAAAAAATTATGTATAAAAATATGTATGTAGAGATAAAAAATAAAATATTAACAATATATTAAAAGATTAATTTTAAATAATTATTCTTAAGTGAAAATAAAATTTCACCTGTCTTTAAATATGTTATGTTAAATATATCTTAAATTTTTTCTCTAAATCACTTCATATCTATTGAGTTAATATGATATCATAGTGATGTGAGTTAATCACCTCACTTTATCAATAAGACGTTCGTCTAGTGACGTAATATTTCATTAAATCTCTACATAGATGAAAAAATTAAATGTTCGATTTTCGAGAACGACATAAGAATGACAAAAATGCAACCCAAAAAGAATTAATTCTATAATCATAGGTTAAGGGATATACTTGATTGTACAAAAAAAAAAGTTTTGAGGGAGGAAACCCGTATAGGGTACAAAAAATGAATGACTCTAAAATGTTTTAATACATCTTAAAATATATTTCCCCATATATCAAATAAAAAAGGTTTTAAAAAAATAATTAATTAGTAGTATATAACAAAATTCCTTAAACAATATCTCCATTCTGTAGATGAGCACAATCATGAAGATCCACGATAATGTTTTATAAATTCAAGCAGAAATGAAAGTGGCATAACCAAAGAAATGATAAGACGTATACAAATACAAAGCAAAGGCCAATTTACCATTGTGAAATGACTAAATCACCTTCCACATATAATCGTCCCTTATGTGTAAATAAATCCCCATATCCTAAGAGTAAGTGAGTAAACATGTTTTTGGAAATTACTTTGTGATGCGAGATTAATGGTCTCAAACACATTAATATCATTGATATGTGTTCGAGATTGTTGATCTTAAAAAGGACAATAAATATTTTTTGTGTGAATCTAATTGAGTGGTCTTTTATGATGAGATGTAGAAAAAGAAACTTTGTGACAAGTAATGATTCTAGATTGTTTATGTTTATATCTTACCAGTTAGTAATTACGAACTTTGTTACTAACATACAACAATTACACATTATATTGGCAAAGATTTTGTTACATAATTAGTATAAAGACGAATCTAATAAAAGATGTAGATAGAGTTCGTATTACAAACTATGACTTGCTACATGCAACTGCTTGAATTTATGGCCCAGTCACGAGTATATGACGTGGAAAACATGCTAATGTAGGACCATGTGGAATTTAAAACAAAAATATAAAAATATTAAGAGAATGAATTTATTTACTCCAAATGTAACTTCACTTCTTAGTAATTAATTTTAGAAAATTTAATAATTTAGATCTACTTACTTTTGGAGTAAATAGATCACTCACAAATATTAAATATTTAATTTTATTAATTAGTATAATATATTTTTATTGGTATGTGATACATTTGAGACATCATTTAGAATAAATGAAAGAAATTTTGATATGCATGGAAAGAGAAGTTCCCAACGTTATGAGCAATGCAAAAGACCAGATTCAATGAACCATATTTGTCCACGAAATAAAGTAATAAACCCTTTTTCTTTATTGTGTTTATTTCTTTTCCTATTTTACTCATTTGGATTCATGATTTGATTTGGACGGTGATGATGCCAATTGATGATAGGGTCCCACAATAGCCACCCCCCTAGTTCATTTGCTTTCTTTTCCTTGGCCGTTTCACTAAAGTTGCATACATCAATTTCAAATTTTGCTTCATCTAATTTACTAAAATTAAACGGTTGCTTAAAATATTGTGTTGCAAATTGCATACAAGTGTGGTTTATTATTTTCTATTATATCACTATATATAAAGTATTAACTAACTCACCACTAATTAGTTCGCATATACTTGTTTAAGTTGTGAGATGTGTGATTTTAATATTAAGAGAATCTTTATCAACAAATGGTTAACATAATTATTTAGTGACCCAATTTTATTTCTAAAATCCTACTAAGAATTAAATAGCGGAAGATCAAATCATCAATTCAGAATCAATAAGATGTTAATTTAGTGGTATAAGGTCCGCTAAATCTTCAGAAATATTAGAAGATCAAATGTTTAATTCATAAGAACGACACTTATTGGGAGAGACAATCATACACCTAAAAAATAATTACCTTTGGAGTACCAAAAAAAAACTTTTGATACCTTTGAAAGTACAAAAAAACCACCAATTGATACATATTGATAACATCTTTTAACAACTATCATCAAACACCACTTGCTCATTAAATTCCATACATGTAAACTTTAATGTCAACCACTCCACTCCATATAAATCTATTGAAACAGGTACTAGGCATGGAAATTGTTTCCTTTTTATGTTGAAAGACATTATTTTATGTGTGGAGACTTAATATTAAAAAAAACAAATGTACTTAATAGCATAAATGGAAATTTGATCCTACCATGTAGCAAAATAGTTTGTGGGAACTAACTCAGTTTGCAAATTAAAACAACTCATACATAAGTACATAATTCATTTAGTGATCTAGATAACATAGTTTAAGTATTTTTTTCACTGAACAAAACTTATTTTAATTACTCAAATAATATAACTTCTTAACTAAATCTATTCTCATAGTTAACAAAAATAAATAGATAATATAATAAGCTCTCAAGTCACAAACCTTAAACTTTGCAAACTGCTTTAACATGACCACAACAGCAAAAAGCACACCTCTTTTTATTTCTTTAACATTTTTCTGGCCAAGTTTCTTTCACTGTTCTTTTTTATATTAATTTTATAACATTTAATAGTGCAATATATTAGAAAAATTCTGAAATAGGTAACACGCCCATTAACAAAGGCGTGATTTTGTACTAATCAGCTTTAATATACTTTGTTCCCGTACTATCTTAGTCTACTTGTTTATTTATTTTATATGTTGCCATAATTAATAATTATTTGATTTAACTAGTTTAATCGATTTATCGTATGGTTCGAATGTAAAATATCATATATAATTAATAATTACTTATAAATATAGAATTATAGGTTAACTTTAAATATTATAATTATATTCAAGTAACATATCTCTGTCTTATTTTGGATTACAATAAAACAAAACATTAGATTAACATATGAGTTATTGTGGTTTAACACGGTCGGATTGAAATTTTCCATTTTAAAACGGTCTAACCCTTCATTCGGTTAAAATTGTGAACTAGAGTCATTTTCAAGTCTAGTCAGTAATCGTATGGTTAGACAGTTCAGTCAGATTCGATCATCATAACATTAGTTCCGAGTTTGCAATTTGCATTAATAAGGGAAAGAATGCAAAGGGGGAAAAATATTAGAGTTATAAAACCTCTAGTCTTTTCCTCTTTTTCTTCAAAGTTTAATTGGCAAACTAACTCATAAACATTTTCCAATTAAGTTAAATGAAATTACAAAAATTAACACTGACATAATAAAATAAACACAAAAACTAAAATCCAAAACAAATATATTTAACAACAATGCTAATAATTTAATGCACCTATTAGGTAGCATATTGAAGTCACTGTGTGATTACTTTTATTAGAGTTTTGTGTTGTTTTTGTACATGGAAATTATTTTGTTAGTACAACACAGAGATTCCAATTCCATGAAATTTTATGATCATTTATTTATTATTGCTATTTAGGAGAGTAGCTCCAATTTGGGTGCTTAGCTGGATAACTTTTGGTAGAGGAAATGGTGGATGGAATCCAGAGTGTAAAACACATTGTACATTTTAGTGATGTTACCATAGCAAAAGGAAACCTCTAAACTTGAATCAATGATAATCACTTTTACTTTACTCTTATATTTCAAATTATGCATGTATTTAGAGTCTCCCAACACATTTTAAGTTTTTTTATACTACCGATGTTATTCCTTACCCTTTTGGGTAAAAAATTAATCAATTTTGTGATTCATGATTATTTACCCAACAAGTATCGCTTTCAGAAATTGAACATTTTTTATCATTCTGAATATCTAATGGTATTTATCTCTTTTTTTTGTTTAATAAAACTGAGATTGAGTTTTCTATTTTTATTATTTTATAGTACCCGAAAAAAATATCAACTCTCATAACTATCATTTATTCTATTTATTACAAATTAAGAATGTGAATCGTTTTTAGTTGTCATCTACCCAGTACAATTGATTTCATTTCAGCTAACCAGATGTTAGAGTTTCATTCTCTGATAATAATTCTGTACCCAAAATATCCTCTGGTAATAATTTATTTTTGACATAAAATGATAAATATATTTAATAATTCAAAAAAGTAACTTAAATACAGCAATTTATTTTATAGCCATTTTAAAATATATAGTATAATGTCATAAAATAATTAAATAAACATGTCTATATTGAAGCACTTGTAACATTTTTACCAGTACGAACTCGTCTGATTATATAAAAATGCTTTTGACAGGATCTTGTAAACAAGTTTAATTCCATTCATATTTTTATTAAGTTTCCAATATATTTAAATTAAATCCTAAATAAAGAATAGTTCAATATTTATTACAGTTAGTATAATTTTTTTATGTTCATGTTCCATTCATCAACCACTATTCATTAATGTGTAGTAGTGTTACTTCATTAAGAATCAATAACACATAGATGATACACTAACATTATAAAAAAATCTTACAATTTTGACTGATAAACTATTTTTCAATAAAGAAAAGTGAATGAATTCATTTACTCTAAGAATAAGTGAAAAAAAACTATTTCATATTATAGTCATTTATTCTTGAAAATTCAATAGTTTGAATTAATAAATAGATCTAAATAATTGAATTTTAAAGATACCCTAAAAAAACATTTACAAGTGGACAAAATTTCTGTGAATAAGAAACATGAGAGGTCTGGTTGTAAAAGATTCCTTCAATTAAGGGATGACACTGCCCATAC